TGATGAGGAGACTATGGGTCACACACTTAGAAGATAATTTAAGAATCAGTTTGTGCAAGGGGTATTTTCATCTTTTAGGACAAAAATGTATTTTGGTAATCTCACAGTGCAATTAGATGTGCTGAGGTTATTGCCTAGATTTAATGTTAAATCAAATCAGTGAGATTATATTTAAATATATGTACGCATATGTTTAAATGAATTATTATTAATTGAATGTTAATACATTTTATAAATGTATTAATTGATTTTAATTATAATAATTAATTAAAAGAAAATACCAAAAGAAGAGTGTTTGGATACATGGATTAATTTGGGTTGGAGCCCAATCCTATTCCTTGAAGATTAGGGTTTTGACACATGCACTATATAAGTGCATGTGTATTGAAGGAAAGAAGTGAATTTATTTTTAATTCATTAAAGAGAAAAAGGCAACCCTTTCTCTCCTTCTCTCTCACGTTTTCCCTTAGTGCTTGAATCAAAGATTTTTCTTTGATTCAAGTTGATTCTTGAAGCCAATAGGGGATCTAACAAATCCCTCTTTGGTTCTTCGGATTGTCTTCGTGTGGATCACCATTCGTTCGGTTCTACGTTGAATCGACAGCAAAGTAGATTCAGAGACATTTGAAGGAGCCTCCAAACGTGCGTAAGATCTCTAATCCTTGAATGGATTGTTTATATTTTCTACTGAATTTTGATTTAACGTGTCAACTATATAATCTGTTCCTGGATTTTGGGCTTTAAAGGAATCGATTTATCCTTTATTTTTTGTTTTTCCACTGCGTTAGGTAGATCAATTCCTAATAGCATGAATTGACTAAGAATGTGAAAAACATAACTGATATATGGTTGTGTCTTCGTGAGATAAATCAAACGTTCCATAAGTCTTTGATAATGTGATGGATTTTCAAGAGGTGGATCAATATCTAGAGATGATATTCCACAATCATATTCTAGGGTAGTGAGTTTGGTGTTTTGTTCGACAAGGATAGCACTCGGTTTGCAGGTTGATAATCTGAAGTCTAATATGAGCTCTAAGATATATTTGCATTGGCTAAGAGATATACTAGTTGGAGATCTCGCAATTTTTATTCTTAAAAAGTATTTTTGTTCTCCAAAATCTTTGATACAAAAATGTGTATTGAGATACTCTCTTAAGTTGCCAATTCCTACTTCATCATTCCCTATGATCAAGATATCATCGACATAAATAATGAGAGTGATGAATGATTTGCCTTGATCCTAGGAGAAGGGTGCATATTCATGCTTGGACTGAATGAAACCTATGCTTGTGAGTGCTTCAGTGAACTTAGCATTCCACTGTCAGGATACTTATTTTAAACCATAAAGAGATCTTCGCAGATGACATACTTTATTCTCCCCATGTAGCGAATACCCTAAGAGAGATCCATATAAATCCCCTCATGAAGATCCCCATGAAGAAACGCACTGTGGACATCCATTTAATGTAAAGACTAGACTTGAATAAAAGCAATCGAAAGAAACACCCAGACATTAACGTGGTTGGCAACAGGGGAAAAAGCTCTCCTAATAATCAAAACCCTCTCATTGAGTAAAACCGTCAACCACCAACCAGGCTTTGTAGCATTCAAGATAGCCATCAGCACGAAACTTGATTTTGTAGACCCATTTACAGCCAATAGGTTTGCGATGTGCAGGATGAGGTACCAAGTCTCAAGTATGGTTTTGAGCAAGAGCATTGAGTTTGTCTGCCATGGCCTGACGCCAATGAGAGTGTTGACTAGCTTCAAAGTACTAGGAAGGTTCCTTGTCGACATATATTTGACTAACACAAATCCGATAGGCAAGAGAGAACCATTCAAAACTAACATAATTTGGGGTGGGATAAAGAGTACCTAAGACTCAGGGATGGTTGAACACACATAATCAACTATCCAAATAGGAGGTCGAGAGACCTGAGAGGACCAATATGGAGGTACTGGATTCGAAGTCAAAACAGGGGATCTTGGTGGAATATCATCAAATGTGGGAGAATCTTTTGGAAGTGAATCTGTAGGTAGATCAGAATTTGGGGGTGGTGAACCGGTGTCTGTAGTAGGTAACATGATAAAACAAGGTATGGGCAGAGATGCGAAATCATCATCCAGGTTATGACAAGGAGGCTAAGAGGATGAACTGGAGTTTACACCATTTTATTTAAAAGAAAAATAATTTTCATGAAACACAACATCTTGAGAGACAAAGAATCTTTTCTTATTTGGATCATATAGTCAATAATCCTTCTGAAGCATAGCGTATCCCATAAAGATACAATATGATTCAATATGAACCAAGAAAATTCCCAGGAAACTGGAGGGGTCACAAATGGTCCCACTTAAAACCTAGTCTCCTTAGACTTTTATCGTCTTATTAATAGAATTTTTCTAGACATGCATATAACCATATAAATAGCTATTCACTGTCCTAAACCTGGAGATGCAAAATTATGATAAATCTAACTGAGTATCTGTTTGAATTGCAGTGACAAAAAGAAAGGTTAGATGAGAATTGTGCTAACTGAGTATCTGTTTGAATTGCAGGGACAAAAAGAGAGGCTAGTTGAGTATTGTGCTAACCAAGTATCCGTTTGAATTGTAGGGACAGAAAAGAGAGGCTAGCTGAGCGGAAGCTGGTTCAACTTGGAAGCTTTGATACCATGTCAGAGTTTGAAGAAGAAGGCAAGAGATGCATAAAGAAACTACCGAAGAATGCCAAGAGAAAGAGAAAGAGATGCAGAAATGTTTTCTGTATTCAATTGTATATTGTGTGTCTATACAATGTTCAATTTATATACATTTGCAACAGTAAAGAAATGAAATACAATCATGCCATAAAGGTCTAATCACACAAATTATGCTAACAGAATATTTGACATTCAAGAGAAAATATCAATCACTCCAATCACTCCATGATTATCTCCATTAGATCTCAATCACTCCATGATTATCGTCATCAATAACAATTCATAGCAAATACATTCGTTGTATGATAAATGTGAAAAAATATTGCAATAATATTGAGTATGTTGGACATAGCCCGATTTTAGATGAACCAGAATAATATGACCGTATCTATTATATCAGGGGCGGAACCAACCTAGTTTTGGGTGGGCCATGGCTCACCTTCAAATTTTTTTTTTTTTAAAAACTAATATGTACAATTTCTAGATTTAGGCCCACCCTAACAAAAACATTAATGTGCAATTAGTTTTTATTTTGGCCCACCTTAATAAAAATTTATGGATCCGCTACTGTATTATATTATACTAGAATAGATTAATGAGCCGGATTTATTTGTCTTCATATTTTTCAATGGCAAAGCGATAAAAATAAATATTNAGAGCAAACAGAACATTTTTAAGCACTAAGTTTTTTGTTAGGTGGATAGCTCTTATGTGGGTGGCTGGTGCAATATTTCTTTTGGCATGCATACGGAGGTAGATGACTTAGTGGGCATATGACTATGGGAAAAAAAAAAAAAATTGGACTGCAAATAATGTGGTCACTAGCCCCTGAACCAATTATCTATATATCATCTTTAATAAAAGTTAGACAAAAAGATGTACTTGCATAATATGTCATATTTGCCTGTGGTATACGATTCAACATTTGGAGTAGCTGATTGTATTGTTCTGTACTAATAATGAGTGCTACTAGGATAGTAGTAAGTGCTAAAAATGATTCAATATGCACCAAGAAACTTCCCAAGAAACTAGAGGGGTCACAGACAGTCCCACTTAAAACCCAGTCTCCTTAGACTTTTATTGTCTTGTTGATAGAATTTTTCTAAACATGCATATAACCATATAAATAGCTACTCTCTGTCCTAAACCTGGAGATGTGAAATTATGATAAATCTAACTGAGTATCTGTTTGAATTGCAGGGACAAAAAGAGAGGTTAGATGAAAATTGTGCTAACTGAGTATCTGTTTGAATTGTAAGGACAAAAAGAGAGGCTAGTTGAGTATTGTGCTAACTGAGTATCCGTTTCAATTGTAGGGACATAAAAGAACGGCTAGTTGAGCAAAAGCTGATTCAACTTGGAAGCTCTGATACCATGTTAGAGTTCAAAGAAGAAGGCTAGAGAAGCAAAAATAAACTGCCAGAGAATGCCAAGAGAGAGAGAAAGAGATGTAGAAATGTTTTCTGTATTCAATTGTATATTGTGTGTCTATACAATGTTCAATTTATATACATTTGTAACAGTAAAGAAATGAAATACAATCATGCCATAAAGGTCTAATCACACAAATTATGCTAACAGAATATTTGACATTCAAGGGAAAATATCAATCAGTCCATGAATATCTCCATTAGATCTCAATCAGTCCATGATTATCTCCATTGGATCTCAATCACTCCATGATTATCGTCATCAATAACAATTCGTAGCAAATACATTCGTTGTAATAAGAAATATGAAAAAATATTGCAATAATATTGAGTCTGTTGGATATAACCCGATTTTAAATGAATCAGAATAATATGGCCGTATCTATTATATTATACTAGAATAGATTAATGAGCTGGGTTTATTTGTCTTCATATTTTTCAATGGCAAAGCGATAAAAATAAATATTACGAGACAAAAATGTATACATCATGCATGGAGCGGATATAAAAATGTCAAATTAATAGGGCATTAGATTGTGCAGCCAGTGCCAGCCTTGCTAATTTAATGGATTTCCTTGGTAATAAATAAGTTTGATCTTGGGCTTTAATGGTTTAATAAAGTTGGCTTAATCATAGGGTTTGGTTGTCTAAATTGAGCAATGAATAATTGGAGCTAATTATTTTCTAAGTGATAAGAATTTGATTATTTTTCAAACAAAGACCTATTTATATATAAACTTTGGGGTGTATAAACTTTAATAAACTTGTGACATGTTCTATTTGCTGATATAGAGCCGAAAATACATAATTACAGTAAATAACATTCCATCTGAATGGTTTATTCTTGTATCAACGAATAACTTCATTCAATCATTTATTACAGGTAATAATACAAAATACAGTATATTTATCATAAGCTTAACAAAAAAGACAGCATGATCCTAGAACTCTTGTCAATTCTCTAAAATTCGTGTGTATGGTGTAGCTTCAATTTTATGAAGCATGTGAAAGATTAAGAGCTGGATTTCAATGTATTGGCAATATCAATGACAAATCGGTATCTGACATCGGCCTTCAAAAGTCGTTCCATGGCAGTGTTCACATAGTCCATTGGAATAAGCTCAATCTCTGCAGTTATGTTATGTTTGGCTGCAAAATCAAGCATCTCTTGAGTCTCTTTCATTCCCCCAAAGTTACTACCACCCACCATCTTCCTCCCTACAATTCCAACAATATTTGTTAGCTAAACTTCAACATTAACAGAAATTTTACTATTTGTTATCTAAGATTATGGGTTAGATTAGATATTTTAATCTTTATATCCAAACGTAACAATTTGGTAGCAATTAATCTTGTGCTCACCCAAGAGCAGAGGAAAAACGGGAAGTTCTAGTGGTTTCTCGGGTGCACCANGCTTCAATTTTATGAAGCATGTGAAAGATTAAGAGCTGGATTTCAATGTATTGGCAATATCAATGACAAATCGGTATCTGACATCGGCCTTCAAAAGTCGTTCCATGGCAGTGTTTACATAGTCCATTGGAATAAGCTCAATCTCTGCAGTTATTTTATGTTTGGCTGCAAAATCAAGCATCACTTGAGTCTCTTTCATTCCCCCAGTGTTACTACCACCGACCATCTTCCTCCCTGTAATTCCAACAATATTTGTTAGCTAAACTTCAACATTAACAGAAATTTTATTATTTGTTATCTAAGATTATGGGTTAGATTAGATATTTTAATCTTTATATCCAAACGTAACAATTTGGTAGCAACTAATCTTGTGCTCACCCAAGAGCAGAGGAAAAACGGGAAGTTCTAGTGGTTTCTCGGGTGCACCAACAAGAACAAGCTTTCCATTAGATTTCAATAGTCCAATCAATGGCAGGAGAGGGTGAGGCGCAGATACTGTATCGATAATACCATCCATTGTGTCCATTGCAGCCTAAACAACCAACAAAAACCAGAATTAGAAACATCAAAAACACAACAGTACTTGCTCTTTAAGTTTTCAAACAAAGGAGCATATTCAAACTAACATATATTATACCTGCATCTCATCTTGGTCACGGCTAACCAAAAATGAGTCAACACCAAGATGTTCAATAGATTCCTTCTTCTTGTTAGGAGAGGTACTGATCACAGTCACCTTAACCCCCATCGCCTTCGCGAACTTGACAGCTACATGGCCTAGCCCTCCGAGGCCAACCACACCCACATGCATACCAGGTTTGTCGAGTCCATAGAATCTCAGAGGACTGTAAACTGTAATACCAGCACATAAGAGAGGGGCAGTGGCATCGAGAGGTAATTTTTCAGGAATTCGGACGACAAAGTGCTCATCTACAACCATAACATCAGAGTAGCCTCCATATGTGATTGTTCCATCATAGAATTTGGCACCATAGGTGAGAATATAATTTCGGCAGTAATTCTCAATATTGTTGGCACAGTTGTCACAAGAGCAGCATGATCCCACCATGCACCCTACCCCCACTTTGTCTCCAACTTTGAACTTTTCTACCTTGCTCCCAACCTCTGTCACTACACCCACAACCTCATGCCTGCATCGCCAATTTCATAGAATTCAGAGATGTTATTTATTTTTCCTAATTTTAGTTTGTCCACAAAATAAATAAATATAAATTATGATACACTGAAATAAACATACCCTGGAACAAGAGCGTAGGTAGGAACGCCCCATTCGTTTTTAAGCATGTGAAGATCTGAATGACATATCCCACAATACATCACTTTGAATGTCACGTCCTTCTCTCCTGTTGCCCTGTACATTATAACAAAACCACCGTCCATCAATCTCCATACACAGCACAAATTACAACTTAAGATCATACCATTTGTTAATTTGATAATTGATATTAAAATTTGCGAAGACTGGTTTAATGGTTTCAATTAAAAGTAGGCGTCAATGAATAGTTTATAGCATACTTTTTATTAAAATTTACATAAAAAGGCCTAATAGTATGCAAAGTACGAGGTTTGTAGCCTACTTGGGCTTGTTTCTGTAAATTTGCAAGCCCATTGAGAAGAGTAAAACTAGAGAAGAGACAAGGACAAGCTAGAATTATCTCCATACTAAGAAATCATTGATACTATTACTGTCCAAGAAATTAAGTTCTAAAAATGTGTTTTGTTTTAGCTGAAAAAAGCAGAAATAAGATGGTATTATAAATGGTGATAGAAATAAATAAAGGAAGAAAAGAAACATATACATGCAAATGTAAAGAGAAAATAGAGAAATGAGAACCTTCTGGAGAAAGTGAAGGGAGAGAGAAGACCAGAAGTGTCACTAGCTGCCCATCCAAGTGCATTTTTCTGGTTCACCTGCTCTGATATTTCCCCCATGAAATTATATATGAATCTACTTCTTTCTTAAAAATTTAAACTGCAAATTAATGAGTAGTCGCACTCAAGTCAAGTGAGAAATAACAAAGAAGAAAATGCAGCATATAAGGGAGTGTGTAAGTGAGCGTATTTATAGAAGTGCAGGTGAGGTGTTGTATTACGCAGAGCTGACATACTTGATAAGTCAATAAGCCAGGTAGTCGATGGCTTTCTTAACTCTCTTTATTGACCAACCTTTATCTAATTTCAGCAAAGCAAAGCGGACATTCTGGAAACTAATCTTTACACATAAATTAAGTCACGTTTATAACAGGATTTTCCTGACACACCTGAGGTTTAGTGAAAGAAAAACAGATCCATAAGTTTCAGAATGGAACATTACACCTTTGTAATTGACAGAAGTTTATGAAAAGTTAATAATCACTTTGAATCTTAGGTATAACAATAATGTTTTACTTACAATTGAATCATACAACCAGACAGAAATTGTACAAAATTTATGTAAAGTGATAACTTTATCTTTTATTTTTCGCCTGATTATATGATTTAATTGTATGATTCAGTTGTAAGCATAATATTGTTCGGGATATAATTACTAATATACTTTTATTTTATCTTTTATTGTATAATAAAAAGAAGTTGATATTTAATATTTGTCACATGATTGAAATATTAAATATATTAACTGATTAAAAATATTGAAATTTGACAATTGATAGAACATTTGAGAAATTAAAAAACTTGTATTTTTATTATACATTATTTATTTAACCCTTATGACTATTATTTTTTTACTCCGTGAATTACAATGGTGTAAATGTTTCATTCCCAACCTGTGGATTTTCTTGCACTAGACATCAGCGGTGTAAAAAAAAAACCCCCACATCACCAAGTCAACCAATCAGTTTTTCTTTCAAACCAATTAATAAGTTTTAACTTTATATTGGATTAACTTATTATCCGGGTTATTTAATCTATTAAATCGCTCATATGATGAGCCTTTATTATATGATATATGGTTTGGGTTTTTTTTTTTTTTTTTTTTTTTTATATATATATATATATTTTCTAAGATGTCAATGTTATAAAGGTGAATTACTAAATAAATAACTTCTGTGGTAAGTAAACAATTAAGTATTAAAAAACATAGATAGATGTTTAAATGACTACATTTTTTTAAACATTATTAATATTGAATTAGAATTATTATTAATATAAAATTGTTTTCACATTCAAATTATTTTTTATAGATATAGTTGATATTTTATTTGTCATTTCTAAGGAATCAAATTTTGAGTATCCTCACCTAGGATATCTATAAAATTAATAGATTATTAGAGAATTAGATTAAACAAGAATCACATTTAAAATGTTAATGTTTAACCAAAGACATTTGTGGTTCATGATTATTGGATAATCAGCTTTGAATTTCTCCAAAACAACCCTAACTGCGGCGTTCATTTGTCAATACGTTCCCAAATAGGTGTAGATTTTGAGAATAGGATTTTACTTGAGTTAAACACTCGACTGATTTTCACCAATCCAAAATTTCAAGATCAATCTACACAATCTTACTTGTGTTGTGACGGGATTTTAATTTTGGGTTCATAACTCACTGACTCCTCACTTTACCCAAGGGAATTAGTAAACAAAGCATATGCAAATTTGCAATTGCTACGTGGTTTTTGATTTCTTTATTTATGTTGGAAATAACACAGAATAACATATATTCTAATCTCATCCCAAGATCATGTTCATAGTCACCCATTGCAATCACATTTTACATATAAACGAACTACAATGAATTTACACAGCATAAATACCTCTTCTCCGTATCTCTGAAGCAAAAATTAAACCTGGAAGAATAAACTGCGTAGAGTATTTTCTTTTCAATTTTAGAGAGAGAGAGCCTGTTTTTTCTTTGCGTATTGGTGAGTAACCTTACTAAAAGGAAAAACTTTCTTTTTATATGGGAGCGGTTCGTGAGAAACTGCCTTTGGCAGTTTCCACTTCCCANCAAGTTGTTGATGATTCTGTAATATTTAGATCTTACTGGCCTTTTTGGATATTTAACCAAACTTGAATTTCACATGCGTCCCATCAATCGTATTTTAAATCTAAAATGATGAAAATAATAAATGTGGTCCCATTAATGGAGAAAGATTTACATAATTTAACTAAAAATAGAGATTTAAATCTTTAGCAATAATAAACAAAACAAAAGTTGAGGCTTTATTAAGTGCAGGCCAACAAAACAACGCATTGCTGATTAATTAATTTTACTGGATTCCAAGCATCAATTGCAACTTCTGCTTTATATATAACAAACACGAACAAAGAAAAAGATGATTCAATGGTGCTGGCCTACAAGGCACACCATTGTTGACTCTGCTAATTTGAAGGGATTTGCCATTAAAGTTTCCATATTTTTATTGAATTATGGGCATCAATCAAAGGCGGGAAGGCCGAAGGCGGGTGGGTCCTTTTCAACCATGTAACATTTTTTGGTTTCTAGCTTCATCTATGTGTTATAAGAATTCAAAGAACGTCAAAATCTTTACAAATATATCTCTTGCTTGTTTTTCTTACAAGTATTTACCTTCTCTGATTATGGCTAGAGCTATTGTTTCCTGTCCCCGAAACTATCTGGTTTCATTCATTCTCGAATGGATACAGCAGGAGACGAGGCTAGTTGTTGGTGTTGACGAAGAAGTTAAAAAGCTCACAAGCAATCTTGACGCTATTGAAGCTGTGTTTCTTGATGCAGAGGAGAGAGAAGTGAAGGAGAGAGATGTCAGACTTTGGTTAGATCGGCTCAAGTACATGTCTTATGACATTGAAGACGTGTTGGATGAGTGGAACTATGTTATGTTGAAACAGCAAATTGTGGGGGTTCTTGCTAAGAAGGTACGTCTTTCCTTTCCCTCTTCCTCTTCATACCAACAAGTTGGGTTACGTCATGAAATTGCGGTCAAGATAAAGGAATTCAATGAAAAGTTAGATGTCATTGTGAACAAAAAGACATCTACGATTTTAAAGTGAGTAGAAGTGTTGGAAAGTCCGAACGAGTACAAAGTACCTCAATTGTTGATGTGTCCAATATATGTGGTCGAGTTAAGGAAAAGAATACTTTAGTACACATGTTGTGTGAGAGTAGTGACCAACACCCCCATATCATCTCTATTATAGGGATGGGGAGAATCGATAAGACTACTCTTACTCAATTTGCTTCTAAAGACAATGAGGTAATAAACAACTTTGATAAAGTAATCTGAGTGTGTGTGTCAGAACCTTTTGATGAATATAGGATGTCGATGTTATAAAGGTGAATTACTAAATAAATAACTTCTATGGTAAGTAAACAATTAAGTATTAAAAAACATAGATAGATGTTTAAATGACTACATTTTTTTAAACATTATTAATATTGAATTAGAATTATTATTAATATAAGGTTGTTATCTCGTTCAAATTATTTTTTATAGATATAGTTGATATTTTATTTGTCATTTCCAAGGAATCAAATTTTGTGTATCCTAACCTAGGATATCTATAAAATTAATAGATTATTAGAGAATTAGATTAAACAAGAGTCACATTTAAAATGTTAATGTTTAACCAAAGACATTTGTGGTTCATGATTATTCGATAATCACTTTGAATTTCTCCAAAACAACCCTAACTGCGGCGTTCATTTCATTTGTCAATACGTTCTCAAATAGGTGTAGATTTTGAGAAAAGGATTTTCCTTGAGTTAAACACTTGAGTGATTTTCACCAATCCAAAATGTCAAGGTCAATCTACATAATCTTACTTGTGTTGTGACGGTTGACAGTAAAAAGTGCCTTTTAATTTTGGGTTCATAACTCACAGGCTCCTCACTTTACCCAAGGGAATTAATAAACAAAGCATATGCAAATTTGCAATTACTACGTGGTTTTTGATTTCTTTATTTATAATTCTGATTCAAAGCTAGCTTTATTAAAGTCATACATAAATTTATTCTACTCTTATCTAGAGTGTATGACATTTACCCACCCAAAGTTCTCCGTAATTATATTTTTCCACCCATAAACTTTGAAATAAAAAAAAAAAAAAAAATTTTACCACCCATCGTTAAATTCAGACGCCGGTTTTAACAACAAAAGGACATTATTGTCAGTTCGCACAATATATATTATAGGGTTAATGTTACTTACACCCCTAAATCACAAACACATAGCAATTACTTTCATTAACTAGGAAATTAGCAATGTAAACCTCTATCTTCAATTTTTATGATTACAATGGAGGTTTCACTTTTAAAGTACGCATATTTCTAAAAAAAATTAAAATTGTATATGTTACTTACACCAAAACCCCCATATTTTGTTCACCAATATTATTGATTGGTTGCCTAACTCAAGTTTACATTTGTTACTCTTTTACTAGTTCAGTAGAACTACTAATTAAACCTAGAGTTAGTTCCAACCCAACCAAGTTTTGGCTCTCATATTGTGTGAACCAAACTACGGTGAAAAATATATTTTGCTAGGGTGGAACACATGTTACTCTTTTACTAGTTCACCAAAACCCCCATACTTAGGGCTATTTTCGAGCTTAGCCGAGCCGAGTTTTTGGCTTAACAAGCTCAGCTTGTGAAAGGAGATGAGAATTCAAGTTCAAGACGAGCTGAGCTGAGCTAAGTTGAGCTTCTGATTTCCTGACTCGACTTAGCTCGTGAAGGGAGAAAAGGATTTCAAGTCTGGCTCGCAAGCCGGCTTAACGAGCCGAGTAAGAGCCGGCTTTCGAGCCAATAAAAAAATGCAATTTTTTTAAAAATTGAGAGCAAATTCTTCTCTCTCCAATTTATTACTCATTTCTTTTCCTTTCTCTTCTCTCTCTCTCACATTAATTACTCCTTTCCTTTCTCTTCTTTTCTCTCTCTCTAATGGCTCATGTTTCTCTTCCCTTCGTATTTAGGGATTTTAACATCAGGGGGTTCTTTGTCATTTTTGCAAACTTTTTATTTTGAAAACTTTGTTTAATCCCCCATACTTTATAAAACCCCTAAAATGCCCCTAATAATTCGAGCCTACCTCGACTCACTAGCCTAACGAGCCGAGCTGAGGTAGGCTCGAACTCAGCTCGTGCTCCCTCACGAATCGAGCCGAGCCGACTTGCGAGTGGCTTGCCTTGTTGAACAGCCCTACCGATATTTTGCTCACCAATGTTATTGATTCCAGCCAACTTTTTTTTTTTCAATTTTTTTAATAAATTTTTATATTTTTTTATTTTAATAATTGACTTCATTTTTAAAAATTATTAACTCTAAAATTAATATAAAGCAAACTAGGGTGAAAAATATATTTAATAAAGTTCGGGTGGGAAAATTTCATTCACCGTCGTTAAGAATTATAAGGTCAACTAATAAAATGTATTATAGTCTTTTCGTAACTTTATGGGTGAGAAATTGTTTTTCACAAAGTTTATGGGAGAGAAAATGTAATTACGGTGAACCTTGGGTGGGAAATTGTCATTCACTCTTCTTATCTTCTATAAAATTAATGAATTGTATCTTCATTGTGGGTTTGTTTTTCCAATCCATCAAAAGAATTGTATGCACTCTTGTCACGTCAACAATTAATGTTTTTGTGAACCTCACTTCCTCCTAATAATGCCTTTGTAAATTAAGGTTTTTTATGTATTTGGTACTGAAATTAGATTTGGCAAACAGGAAGGCCGAGCAGGTACAAGCCGACGGGTAAATTTTTTGAACGGATAGGAGAAGGCACCACCCGGATAGGTGCCGGTCACCCATTTTCCACATATATTTTCACTTTTTTTTTTTTAAAATTTTGTTATTCAAACCATATATATCTAAGCATAAAACAAAGGGTAGAAAATTTTAGAAAACAAAAAATTAACTCAATCCAAAGGATATTTGACGTCCGCAAGGACAATACTCAATAACGTTGATCAAGCAAAGGCCATTACTCTCTCTCATTCTTGTATTTTAAGTTCTTAACTACACAAAGCATTGAAAATGGTGCACTCAAACCAACAAACCTAGAAACTACACCTTACCAAACTTTGCAGAAAGCAACACAAATAATAAACAAGAAAACTTTCAATTTTGATAAAATCATCACAAAACGGCCATAATCCTGTAGGAGCAAGATCATAAGGCCATTATCACAACCATTCCTAGCTTCTCTACAAACAACATCAACAAACGGCCACCCACCAAACCCACAAGAAAGGCATAAAACCCCATCCCCAGAACACTCCAAAACGGCCACTACAATCACCTAGATCTACCAACCCCAACACAACTCATGGGTAAGTCCCATTCTTCCATAGTTTTGTGAACTTTGACAACACAACTCAAGAGAGAGAAATGGTTTAGGAGAGATTGAGAGTGAGAGTTGTTGGGTGTGGGCACTGTTGGCTGCGTGAGAGAGAAAGGTTTGGGAGAGATTGACAGGGAGAGCTGCTGGGCATGGGTGCTGTTGGTTGCATAAGAGAGAAATGGTTTAGGAGAGATTAAGAGTGAGAGCTGCTGGGTGTGGGCGTGGGCGTGGGCGCTGGTTTAGGAGAAATGGTTCAGTGATGAGTGATGGTTGCGTGAGAGAGAAATGGTTTTAGGGTTTTTCAGTTTTTTTTTTTTTTTTTTTTTTTAACGGAAAATGGGTACCTGCGGGTATCACCCGGCCCACCGTTATTTTCACGGGCGGGCCGAGTACGGGTAAATATGATACGGGTGATTATTATAGACACCTGTATCTGCCCATTTTACCCGAGTACCCGTACCCACGGCTATAAGTCAAAGTTTGCCAGGTCTAACTGCAATGAAGAGTCTATATAATTAGTTAATGAGAACATGCAACTGATGGAACCTTAATTATCAATTGAAATATCTAAAAGTTGAAGATGACTGGCGAAAAAGGGTGATGCTGTGTAAAAGGAAGAGCCTGGCTGGTAATAGAACCATGAACAAGGCCCGAATATATTATTCTCATTTTCATAGATATAACTCACTTTTGTAAAATCTAATTTTCCTCAAAGGTAAAACTAGTTGCTATAAAAAAAAAAATTTAAAGGGATAAAACAGATTGATATTTTTGTAATCTGATTGACAAACATGTCATGTTAAAAGAATAATACAAAATAGACAAACTCTTTTTTTAATTTGATATTATCGGATCATAATTGTATATTTTACATTATAATGTCTTGCATAAAACTTTTTCATTTTCATAATTGTATATTTGATATCTAAGTATTTAATTTCTATAAATAAACTATTGGAATAATGATTGTAATCAGTTCTTATTGTTCATATTATTTTACTTCAGTTTTATTAAGTTAGTTCAAATAGTTTAAGCAATTGTAATTGTACAGCTTAGGTTGTTGTTAAGTAGTTGGGATACAGTTGTATTAACTCTAGTTAAATAATACCATAGTTAAGTCTTCTTTTAGTAAACTCTAGTTGAAGATTAGTTTAGATATAAAAGAGTCAATGTTGTAAAGTGGACATGAGACTTGAATGATGAGTTAACGAAGAAAGTTGTTTTCTAGAAAGTTTCTTCTTTCTTTGTTTATTGCTTCCTTCTCTGTTTGTTACATGGTATCAGAGCTGGTTCAAATGTATTCACTAGTTGCACAAATTGGAAATTGAAGCTTATCATTTGAGTTGATTAAAATCGAATCTATTCTTTTTCAAATCACATTTTTCTTCCTCTTTCTAAATTCGTCAGTTTGAAGTTGCTTGTAAGTAATGGCGAACATCAATGGAGAATTGGTACTCACCACAATAGATTCAAGTTCACTACTCTATATTCATCCTTCAGGTACACCTGGTTTGGTGTTAGTTTTAGAACAATTGATTGGTATTGGAAACTATGGGATCTGGAGCCGAGCCATTACAGTCTCATTGTGAGCAAAGAACAAGTTAGGGTTCGTCGATGGAACTTGTGATAAATCAGGCTTTAATTCTCTTCAACATACGCAATGGGAGAGGTGTAATTCTTTGGTCTTGACCTGGACTTTCAACACAATTT